CACCTTAGTCCTCAAGGAGATATCCTTGCTCCTCAGCACTTGAAACAGTTCCTTCGCAGTTGACTGCCAGAAGAAATTATGAATTTATGGACTGCCAGAAGAACCAACAAATGTGTCTTGAAAGAAATGCAGCCAGAATGCTCCTTAGAAGTGAGGACGGCCAGCCTGCATCTCACCTACTTCAGACATGTTATCAGGAGGGACCCATCTCTGGGGAAGCACATTATGCTTGGTAGAGTAGAGGGTCAACTGAAAACAGGAAGATCCTCAACAAGATGCCTTGGCACAGTGGCTACAACAGGGAGTTCAAACATAGCAACCACTGTGAGGATGGTGCAGGAACAAGCAGTGTTTCTCTTATACATAAGGTTGCTGTAAGTTGGAAGCAACTCAACAGCACCTAACAACAGCAACATGATTAATTACAGAGTCTGACTAACCTGATAAATTAGATTAAACTAGTTCATAGCTTATCCCTGTTGTATACATTTTTTTTTTAAATTTCAGGATATATTTATTTACTATCCATAATTTTCCTCTTAAGTATATGAAACATAAAAAATAACAGCACATATAGTAATTATCTTAGAGAGGTGGGTTTGTTATTTTATTGTATCATTTGTTTTACTAAAATTTATTTAAAAACACCTGGAGGACCATTTCAGTAATAATAAGACTATCTCACATATCTATAGTGCTGAAAACTATCCAAAGGCTTTCATATGCATAATATTGATTCTCCTAACAACCTTTCACTATAGCACGTAAGACAAAGGAGCACCAAAGAGTCTGACACATTCAAAGGTCACAAAAATAGTAAATTTAAAAGCTGAGACCAAAATCTGGGTCTCTCCCACCCAGTCTGTTGGCGATTCCCTCACATCATGGATTCATATACAGGTAGTTCCCGACTTATAACATACTCAGTTTACAACAAACTACACTTATGACCACTTGGGTTTGTTTTGTTTTCTTTGGCTTACATAATGCACATATAATTGGAGAAGCAAGAAGTACTGATTATTTTTTTTAATCAAAGATTTTTATTTATTCATCTGCCAATCATAACTGATTTCTATCTACAATTATTTTTAAGGTAAGCAACAGCAAGTCAGATGAAGAAATGGTTGTGGCCTTGAGCTATGGGACATTATTACACTTTAACACACCAACTGATGGAAAAATGTGAAGCATCGCTGTGAAGGTGTTCATCACGGTTGGCCTATAACAATGAATGGATGCAGCTTTAGTGTGCCCTGTCCAAAAATGCTTTGTAGCACCTAACAGACTGCTGGTACACCGTCTCAAAGTCAGAGTCATTCCCAGAGCAGGCCTCCTCAACAGTAACTTGTTTTTGTGGATCATAGCTTCCAAGAAGTTTTAACTTGATTACCTTTTCTATTCAAATCTCTTAGATTGCTTTCATCCATACATAGTATATAATCAAGTGTGGCAAAGTCCTTCTTGGGTAGCCTGCTGGGCAATGTGATTCATAGGAATACCATGCTTCTTCGTACAATTTTGCCCTCAATAATCAGGAAGGTTCCCTATTTCATACGTGGCTACTGCTATGCTATCTACCTCCACTTATCTAAAAGTTACAGGTTTTCTGAAAACTGCTTCTACAATGATGACTGACAAATGTTACAAACAGCCCAGACTTGGGGACCTCCTCTGCTGTCTTCTCAAGCACTAAGAGGTACAAGTGAGTCAGTCACCAGCCAGAACCTGGAAGTGCCGATGTTGAAGCTTTCAGTCTCTAGGTAAATTTTCTGACCCCCAAAGACAAATAAAGATTGGATTTATAAATATACTGATAATAAAAGTCAATAGTAATGAAAATTAAAAAAAAAAAAAAAAAGAGATGTTTGACTTATGTCAGAACCAACTTCTGATGGAGTCATCAGGACAAAGCCTCTCCTGAGTGAGGGACGACCTGTGTTGAGCAGGAGTGTAGAGAAGGTGACATGTAAGAGGATATTATTTTACAAGTGATTTTTGTAAGGACTCATTCAAATTTCTCAGTGTTCTTCATGATTTCCATGCACTTAAATTATTACTTATGTATTATGCTAAAGAAATTTAGATAACCTAAAAAAAAGAGATTTCCAAACTTTATTCTGCTCTGCTTTTCAAGGTAGCACAGTAGTTCGACTTATTGAGTAAGACTTTCATTTTTAAAAAATTCTTATTATAGAAAACCATATGGAAATTAAGTTCTTCATTCCATTTCCTAAGTTCCACTTTTAATCCAGGGGAGAGAAGGAAAATAGAAATGGGAATATACTGATATAGTAAGAACAAAAAAGTTAAAGCTTTCTTGTGTTTGTCTCTTCGCAGTTCTCTACTTCTCTTCCTTCCATTGAGGGGCACGTACACACTCTTAACCTAGTCTCCTTGCCCCAGGATTAATTCTTAGACTGGAATTCATCCTTCTCTGCAATGAGTGTTCTAAGTCATCAGGTTTCCAAAAGATCCAGCTAAATCTAACATATATTTGTTGTTGTTAGGGGTCATCAGTCATCTTTAACCCATGGCGACCTCATGTGTAACAGAAGAAAACATTGCCCAATCCTGTGTCAGCCTCACAATGGGAGCTATGTTTGAGACTGTTGTCACAGCCACTGTGTCATTTATGTTCTTCAGCAATATCTTTCCTGGAGAATGAAGTTCATGAGGTCTAATAACCTTGTATATGTACTGAAACACAGAGATCTGATTTTTTAAATGTGAATAATAAACCTAAAGGAGCTGGTGTAGTGCCTAATGCACTTGACTGCTAACCAGAAGGTTGGTGGTTCAAGCCCACCAACCACTCTGTGGAAGGAAGACTAGGCAATCTACTTCCATAAAGATTTACTGCCTCAGAAACCCAAAGGGAGTTGCTATGAGTTGCAATCAACTTGATGGCAGTGAGTTTGGTTTTTGGTTTTTATGATAAACCTAACCAAAAAATTTAGCTTATGAGCAACTCAGACTTTGTCCATATAATTGCAATTCATAATATGCCCAGTGTCCATCTTCAGGTTGTTGTGGCAAGTGTACGAGCAATTGTGGAAAGTTCCTGGTGGAATAAGTTTGGACTTGAACATATTTTTAAGAGTTAGTAGAATGAAATTATCAAGGTGACAAGATTATGAACAGGTTTTGGTTTGATGGCCATAAATTGTACCATATATACAATGTCTTATTCAACCCTGTTGGCTGTTAGTTGGTTATTAGTTGCCATCAAGTTGGTCCTGACCATCCCCATGATCATTGCAGAGTGAACCATTGTAACCTAGAGTGCTCATTGGCTGATTTGGAAAGTAGATTGCCAGACCTTTCTTCCTAGTCTTAGTCTAGAAGCTCCTCTGAAACTTGTTCAGCATCATAGCAACACGTAAGCCTCCTCTGATGGGCAGTGGTTGCCCTTAAGATGCATTGGCCAGGAATTGAACCCAGGTCTCTTGCATGGAAGGTGAGAATTCTACCACTGAACCACCAACACTCAATTCACCAATTCAAACATCTGTGCTCATTTGAATGAATAATGAATGAATATTACAAAGAAATTTGGGGAATCAAATATAGCCAGAGGGACCACAAGTCCTGATCCAGTGTCCTACCTAATCCAGCCCTGTTTTCCTCAGGGGAGATCTCAAACCATCAGCTTCTCTGGAGTCATGTAGAAACAGCTGAGCAACCAAGGAGGAAGAAAACCCTTGAGTCCAGCTTTCATTTTCAACCTGGTTTATTTTTTTGGCTTCTAGTGTTTGTGCTCATTAACAGAGAGAGAAAAAAAAAAATGTTAATAATTTTCAAAACACTTTGCGTTTTAACTGGTTCCAGAAGTAAACAACTTGAAAGGCAAAATCACAAGAGGTATGTAGTGAACAGGGCCTAGTTACCAAAAGAGGCCACATAAAAATTAAAAAGCACTAAAGAATAAATATACCATGTTGTCCAGAGGGATGAGCTATATACAGCCAAAGTAAAAATTAAAGCCAAATTGCACGCACTAATGAGAGTTGCATAACTTATCTGACTCATTTGCATACATGCAATTATCCTGGTAGGTGCTGAACTCAGCACTCCAAGCTGGGTTAGTGCTTCTCCAGGGAACACAAGGCGATAGGCTATTTCCCTATACGTTGGTTGTGTTCCCTTATGACCGAGAGGCCAAATAAACAACCACTCACAGCACTTTTAGACTTTTAATCTTTGAAATAAAGCAACACAGATCTGTGCATGGGTAGGAGTCAGGCCCCTCACCCTTGTAATCAAGAAACAGGCAGATTCTGGATCAGTACTCCATTCTAGAAAATTGTATCTGGTCTCATATCTTGCAAAATCACATTTCCTTTATGCTATATAAAGAATTCTTCTTCTCCTTCTTTCTCTTCTGAATGGACTGGCCGATGACAGGGACCTTTTGAGATTATCTTCCTTGCACTGAGGTCCCTCTGGCCAGCAAGTAACGAAGGAAGGGCCCTTTTCTCAAACACTGTGTTGTGTTTGGAGCCAGCTGCCACTAAGGAAGTGGCTGGCAAGTAGGATGGAGGCTGGCTGGTCTGCAAATCCCTTGGAAACTGGTTCAAGGGAGATTGCCTGGGTTCAGAATTGACCACAGTGAACCCTGTGTCAACATTCGTTTCTGCCTCAAGCTTCTGAAAGCAATTTCTCTGGCTGAGGACCTCCATTTTGACCCCAGATTCCAAGTGGGGAGAAGGCAGAGGCAGTTGGGTGCCCATAGCTGTGTTTCCAGCCAGGGATGACCAGCTAGGGCTTTTCCATGTAGTGCCGCTGGAGCTGTCTGATGTGAGGCTCCCATTGGGCTCTGGAAGCTCTAGAGAGCCCACCCTGGAGCTCCTGACTCGGGTCCTCCGGCTTCTTGGTTCTAGGGTCCTCTTTGTGGAGACAGAGGCCAGCCTGGAGCCCTGGAGAAGCATGTCAGTCCCTGAGGTGTCATTCAGAGAGGAAAGCTCGCAGTTCCCAACACCAAGTCCTGGACTCATTTGGACCTATGGACCAAGGAAAGTAGGAACAAATGAAACAGATGTTTTCTATTGACTAAGCACCAAGGACAAGCCATATCTTCTTCACCCTCTACCACGCCATACCAAAAACAGACTTTCAAAAAAGTTGAATTAAATGGAAGTGATCCATACATTCTGATCATAGGGTGTGTAATCAGCATCAGTCCAAACATCTCTGACTTGGAATTCCTAAATTGATTTTTGACAAGGGCAAGTCATGTGGAATCAACTGTGTTGACAACAACACAATTCTGGTAGATCAAATTGTTCAGATAAAAATCAGAAAGATATTCACAGGTGGTTAGCCTCACTCCAGGATTTTAAATGATGGGTTACCAACCATAGAAAACTAGAAAACCACTGTTCTGGTTACCTACTGGCACTCTGACAGGAATATACCACAAATGGGATGGCCTTAACAAACAGGAGTTTGTTCTCTTACAGTTCAGGAGGCTAGAAGTTCAAAGTGCCAGGCTCTAAGGGCTGTGTGAAAGCCCCTCAACCTTGGGCTTCAGCTCTGCCTTCTGCTCGGGACCCACTGAAGTTAGAGGCGTCTCTTCACTCAGGCAGTACTGGCTGCTGAGGCTAACAAGCCCAAGGTTGACAAATAAAATGGCACAGTCCTAATGTTACCAAACCACATGGCAGGCCATTAATTCAAGTCCATTGTAAGTTCCAAGGTTGGCAGAGCATGGCAGGCTGCTGAACAATGACATGGCTACATGCAGGGTCCAAGCATGCCATAAGCTAGAGACCATTCCCCACGGCTTCTCCTTATATACGGGAAGCAGACCACATCACTAGGGCAGATACTCAGCTGCTTACAGATTCCACCATGGAGTTGATTACCAGTCTCATCATGGGGAATACTACATCCAGCTGCCCAGCCACTCAACCAAGGCTAGCCAAATTGACACACAAACTTAACTACCACCACCATCAAAACATATGATTATAGCCAAAGATCATCTACAACCAACTTCTTTGTTATTAATTTTACTCGAGCTCTTAGTAGAATTTTATAAGAACATTCTTATTCCTTTACTCTCAAAGTATTCTTTCCTTCAGCATCCAGAGCAACTTAACCACTTTCCCAGGCCAATTTATCTATATTCATGCCTTCAATTATCAGCTAAATGTTGAAGGGTTCCCAAAAGAATAACCATAGCTCAAATCTGTCTCTTGAGCTACATTCCTATCTACCAACTATCTTCCAGGCATAAGCATTTAGAAGTCTCACAGGTCCCTCAAAGTCATAATGTCCAGAATTAAAGTCATCTCTAGCCTCACACCAAATAGTTCTGATCGCTCTTTCTCCTATCTTAAAAGATGGCATCATTAACCATCAAGTTGTCCAAGGGAACATCATCTACCCTTCTCCATGCCCCATATATCACCCATTCCTATGGACTCTGTCTTCTAGAGGCCTCTCAGATCTTCCTGTTCCCCATTCCCACTGCCATTAATCCTAGGGCAGGCCATCATCACCTCATCCCATGACATCTCGGTCATAAGGGAACACAACCAACCTATGGGGAAAAAGCCGACTGCCTTGTGTTCCCTGGAGAAGCACTAACCCAGCTTGGTGTGCTGGGTTCAGCACCTACCAGGATAACTGGACTTCTAATAGGACTCCCCATGGACATTTTTAACTCCCTTTAATCTATTCTTCACTCTACTGCCATAAGGAACTTGGAAAACACAGAATTGATCATATCACCCTCTTACTTCAATGGCTCCCTACTCTTTAACATAACCTACCACATATGAGGTCATCATGACTTGGAATCCACTCAACAGCAATTTTTTTTACCACACTCTCCATGGTCTGCTCCTTCTTACTCCAGCCTGACAAGTCACTGCTTTCTCCCTTTCAACCATCAAATGCCAAAATCGAACTTCTTTCTATTCTTAACTGTGTTTTGCTCTCTTATTGCCAGTACTTATATATATTATTTCCTGTCTGGGATATATTTTCTCTAATTCTTTGTACTAAAAACTCCTCCTCGCCTGTCATCACTTCCTCTTGAAATCTTTCCCAGTATCATTAGTTCTGAGTTTCAAACCAGTTGCCATGGAATCAATTCTAACCCATGGTGACCTCATGTGTGTCAGAGCAGAACTCTGCTCCACAGACTTTTCAGTGGCTGCTTTCTTCAGCACTGGCTCACCAGACTGTTCTCTCGAGATGCCTCTGGGTTGACATGAACCTCCAAGCTTCCATTTAGCAACCAACTGCATTAACCATTTGCACCACCTAAATATTGATTCTGCCACTAATTAGTTGGGGGACTTTAAGCAAATGACTTAACCTTTCTATGCCTTACTTTCTTTACCCATGAAAGAACATAATAATAAGTGCCAACCTCATAAGATTGATGTGAGGATTAAATGACAACAATATCTTAGATATGTTGTTGTTGTTATGTGCCATCGAGTCAGACCCAACTCATAGCGACCCCTCCTTGGATTTCCGAGGCATTATCACTATGGAAGTAGATTGCCCAACCTTCCTTCTGAGGAGTGGCTGGTGGGTTTGAACTGCCAGCCTTCTGGTTAGCAGTCAAGTGCCTTAGGCACAATGATACCAGAGCTCCTATCTTGGATAGAGTAAGTGCTATATATGGGTTGATTATTATTATCATTATTAATTTAATTACCATTTCTTATAGCAGCCTGTACTCCCCATATCATGGTGCTTACTACATTTTATTGCACTTGCCTCTTTACTTCTGTGTTTCTTCCCCTGGAAGAGTGGGAATTGCATGTCTTCTCCATCATTGTACATTCAGTACCTAGCACAGTGTCTGGCATATGGTAAATATTAGTCATTAGTCAAATGTCTCCTGAATAAATAAATAAAGCTCAACATCTATAAAAAATAATAATAAACGTTTGTACATAGAAGTGTATGAAGATAAAGCATCTCTATTACCGGTACCGGTTGTCATTTAACTGACTTCAACTCCTAGAGACCCCATGTGCGTCTGAGTAGAAGTGTGCTCCATAGAGTTATCAATGACTGGTTTTTTCAAAGCTTTTATTCTGAGGTGCCTCTGGGTAGACTTCAACGTCCAACCTTCCAGTAGGCAGCCAAGAACTAAGCCATCTGCATTACCCAGCGGCTCCATCTATATATCAGGTCCCTGATCATTTATATTAAGGGGATGTAAATTCTTCATAAAGTCTTATCAAGAAAATCCAAAGTGACCTTTATCATTAATTTCAGGAAATTCTATAATCTTTTTAAGAGAAGTGAATGTTGACTTTTTAAAAAGACAAGTCTAAGATCCTTAGACCAGATGGCAAAAGTAAGTGGAACATTGTTAACACAAAAAGGCAGCTGGGTAAGGTTAGAATGAAAAATTTCAAGGAGAAACAATGCTGAGTGTTTGAGATGAATCCTTTGAGGAAGACTAAAGCTCCTCTTGTCAAATAATAATAATAGTAATAAATTGAAATGCATTTCTAGGAATTAAGATTACTTAGAGATCATGTTTCTAAGAATATTTGTAAAACGTTACAAATTGGCAGCTAGTATCTTTCAAGTTCAGAAAGCATTAGTAACTATCTTGATTAACAGGAAGTTCATTTGTCACTCATTTTTGACCCTAAGCACTTGAAAACAGAGAAAATAAGTCATTGAAAAATGATTAAATGGCTAAGGAACAGACTGATAACATGAAGGGAAAATAATACTGTTTTTTTTACTAAAAGTGATTCCAGGAAGATAGAAAAACAAGATTTTTTTTTTCTGCACTGAACAATAACAACAACAACAACAAAAATGCATGAACATAAATTATGTAGGTAATGAGAGACCCAAAAGCAGTACCACACTGCCTTACATAAGAGTTGAAACCAGCCTTTTCCAATTAACTTGATATTTTCAAAGGTACTTATTTGAATTTTTTACCAAAACTGCTGATGTCAACCTACTGTCCTATAGAGCAATAACCTCTTTAAACAATGCCTAGAAGTCCTCTTAAGTTCAGTATAAACCAAAATATTGAGTGAGAGTGTAGGAATGGATATATGTGTCTGGCTGTGTAGGGTATATTGGAGGCAGAGGGAGTGAATGGGAAAGGAATGAGAAGAGGAAGGAATAGGAAGGAATGGAGTGTGAGTGTGTACAACTGAGACAGTCCTTGAACACATCCCCTGCCCACTCAGGGACCTCAAGGTCTTGTCTTGTCATGAGTGCTGAGAATAGCAACATCTAGTGGAACTTGTAAGGTACTCTTCTTGTACAGAATTCTTTGTTGTTTCTCCTTTTGATCTCCTTGGTTCCAGGTGTTCTGTGGCAACTTTGGAACGAACAGTCCCGTAAACTCAGGGTGGTGGTGCTAGCAGTTACCAGTCAGCTGGGCCCTGCAACAGATGACAGTCTCTCCAGGGGCAATGGCAACACCACCAGTGACCAGTGTGGCCAGGAGAACCGAAGGACATTCTAGCAGACTTAAGAATCTACAGCTTAAGGACAAAGGCATAGCCCTTCTCTAAAAGCTATGGGATGGTTTTGATTTCTAAGAGACAACTGAGCAAGAGGGCTGCTTTTTCTCAATCACCATGGTGGGCTAGAATCACCTTACTTTGAATATTTATCTGAATTGTGATTTGTGTGTGTGTGTGTGTGTGTGTTCTCAGATTGCTAAATCCAGGATATTTTAGTTATGCCACATTGGCTATGTGGATGTTAGCATTTATCTAAATGAATGGATTTAGGTATGTCTATGAAGTAGCGTTAACAACAACAACAATGTAGCGTAGTGCCAAAGGCACTCGACTGCTAACCAGAAAGCTGGTGGTACAAACCCACTAGCCACTCCATGGAAGGAAGACTGGGCAATCTACTTCCATAAAGATTTACTGCCTCAGAAGCCCAAAGAGGGCTGCTATGAGTTGGAATCAACTCGATGGCAGTGAGATTGGTTTTGGGTTTAGTTCCCTTTCAAGCTATCCTATTTAAAAATACAAGGGCTATT